CGGCGAAGGACGCCGGCTCCTCTGCTGGGGGCAAAGGGCGCGACGACAAGGAGGCGTCGTGCTCGCTGGTCGGCGTCGTAGAGCCGACCATCTCGCTGGCGCCGAAGGCCAATGAGGACTTCCAGGCGGTGGTGGTAGCTGTGCAGGTGAACCCGGCGGTGGTCCTGTTCGACAGCGGCTGCTCGGACCACCTGATGGGGACGAAGGAGGCGTTCGTCGATTTGGAGCCGAGCGGCGACGTGAAGCATGTGCGTGGCTTCAATGGGGTGCTGCAGGACGTCCAGGGCCGCGACATTGTCGCTCTGCAAGGGGAGGCCGGAAGATAGGTGCTCATCCCCGATGTGCTGTACGTCTCAGGCGTCCGAGCAAATCTACTTTCGGCCGGGCAGCTGAAGGAGAATGGCGTGAAGCTGCAGGAGGACGGCGACGGGATGCTGCTTGTCTTCGCGGCCGGAGAGATGCTCGGTCGGGCAACGTACACCGGGCGTGTCCTCTGCACCAACCTGCGCCCATGCTCGGCCACGAAGACGACGCCCACCACGGAGGTCGTGGCCCGGCGGGCTATTGTCTAGGCGATGAAGGCAACGCTGGACAGGTTGCACGCGAGGCTTGTGCATGCCGGCATGGACACGATCTGGAGCTCGGCAAAGCACGAGGTCGCCACCGGGCTGGACCTCAAGTCGGCGTCTGGCGCCGAATCACCGTGCGTTTCGTGCGTCAGCGGGAAGCTGGCGCGACACACCTTTCCCGACCAGGGTTCCGACGCCAAGGACGTGCTGGCCGTTGTGCACATCGACCTATGCAAGCCTTTCAGCGTGGCTGCCAAGGACGGTAGCCTGTACTTCTCGCTGCTGAAGGACCCCAAGACCCGCTACGTGTGGGTGAAGTCGGTCGTCAAGAAGTCGGATGCGTTGCAGGTGTTCATGCAGTGGTTGGCGGTGGCTGAGCGGCAGACGAAGAGGTCGGTGTTGACGCTACGCTGTGACCGGGGAGGGGAGTTCCCCGGTTGCAGCGTCGACCTCTCAAGGCAGTTGCGGACCCAGACGGCCTGCCGAGAGCGAGGTGCCACCAGTGGTGCTGCACGCCCATATGTAGCAGCATCGTCCGCTCCGACTCCACTACCGTCCTCATCTCCCTCTCCACCATGCCGTTTTGCTGCGGGGTGTACGGGCAGGTTAGGTCGTGGACAATCCCTTTGCCGTTCACGAAGTCGGTGAACTCCTTCTCGAGGAACTCCCCTCCCGGGTCACAGCGCAACATCAACACCGACCTCTTCGCCTGCCGCTCAGCCACCGCCAACCACTAAGAGGTCGACGCTGCCACCGGGGACGACGCCGCACCAGCTTCTCACCGGGAAGAAACCCGACTTGTCACTGGCGCGGGTGTGGGGCTGTATGGCGCAGTTCTTGGTCCCCGAGCAGCAGCGTGGTGGGAAGCTGCAGCGAAAGGCCAGGTGGGGCCTTCACCTCGGCGTGTCTAAGGAAAGGAAGGGCGGGGAACCCCTTGACATCGCTGATAACAGGGTGGTCACCACATCGGATGTGGTCTTCTTCGAGGATATGTCGCTGGAGGTGTAGAAGTCGGAGCTCGGGCCGGCGTCGGGACGGACGCCGACCACCCCGCCGACAGACACCTCGATGGCAACGCTCCCTTTGCTCGCCGAGGTCGGTGAGCCCGCTACCAAGGACGTCGAGGACGTCTCCTCTAACTCCCCCTTCCCTACCCCTCCTGCTCCTCCCAGAGTGGCTGACCTGCGTGGGCTGCCTCTGGTGTCGGCCTCCGGCGATGAGGGGAGTAGTAGGACGTTGCCTTCGGTGCTATGTTGCCTTCGGCGCTGACCAAGGGCATCACCGACGTGGGAGTGCAGTCGACATTGATAGGGGAGGAGGTGCGGCCGACTTTGGTACAGCCGGCGAAGAAAGCACCAGCAGGGCAGCACCCGACAAGGGAGCAGGCAATGGTGAAGCGGGCCACGGAGCAGTTGGCGACCAGGCAGTCGGCAGGGGAGCCGACCGTATGGGAGAAGTCGATCGGGACGCCGACTGAGGTGCAGCAGGATGCCAAAGGCAGTGAAGATGGTGACGAAGGAGGGGCCGCCGAGGAGTCCACCATCAGCGACGTGGTGGAGGTTCCACCTGGGCCTCGGATGTCAGGCCGAATTCGGAGGCCACCCGAATTCTTCGTCCCCACTGCCTTCACCACGATGTACAAGGTGGACGATGACGACCTGGCGTACGACAGCACCAAGGAGGATGAAGAGGTTCCAGAGCTCGACCCTGACATGCATGTCGACCCCGAGCACTGTTGGGACATCTCGACGATGACGGTGAAAGAGGCGTTGGCAAACTAAGGGCCCGGCGGTGAAGGCCACTATGGAGGAGGAGATCCGGAGCCTCATCAACATGGGCACATGGGAGCTGGTCGAACGTCCGCCAGGGGTGAAAATAATGAAGAAACGGTGGATGCTGACGACCAAGTACCGCATCGACGACACCGTCGAGCGCGACAAGGCGAGGCTGGTCATGAAGGGCTTCACTCTGGTGTATGGCGCCGATTACGACAAGACGTTTGTGCCGGTGGGCAGCTACGTCACGCTGAGGATCTTCCTCAGCATCGTCACCGTCCTCGACCTCAACCTGATGCAGCTCGACATGAAGAACGCCTTCCTGCAGAGCAAGCTCGACAGGGTGTTGTACATGTCCCAGCCGGACTACTTCAATGACGGAACTGGCCGGGTGTGCAAGCTGCTGAAGAGCCTGTACGGGCTGAACGGCGTGGTACCTGGCGCTGCTGCTGTGGTACTTGGCGCTCAACGGCGTGCTGGTCGGCGCCGGGTGGAAGAAGAGCCAAGTCGAAGAGGTTCTGTACTTCAAGGTCGGCAACAACGAAGTGGCCTGCTGGGTGTTGGTCTACGTCCACAACCTGCTCGCCGCCAGCAGCGGCACCAAGATGCTGAAGGAGTTGAAGGAGCTGCTCGAGTCCGCCTTTGACCTGCGTGAGATCTCGCCGGTGTAGAAGTACCTCGGGCTGGAGATCATCCGCGACAGGTCGGCGGGGAAGCTATGGCTGCACTAGCAGGGCTACGCCGACAAGCTACGTAGGCGCTTCATTGACTAGGAGGGCGCGGGGTGTACCCCAAAGACGCCGGTCTTGGTCGGTGCCTACGCGCAGCTGACGTTCGACGACGAGGACGCGCAGGCACGCTACTAGGAGGAGTACCGGCAGAAGTTCGGCTTGCTGCAGTTGGTGGCGACGACGACGAGGCCGGGCATCGCCTTCGCCTGCAGCAAGCTGGGGAGCGGCCTCACGGTGAGGAGCGACCAGCACTGGCACGAGGTTGACCGCTACCTCGCCAACACGTATGACACCGCTTGAAGTTCGGCGGTGGACCTGAGTCGCTGGAGTCGGTCGGCTACATGGACGCCGACGACGCCGGCGACAAGCAGAAGAGGACGAGCACGGGAGGCTACGCGTTCGTCTACGGAAGGGCTGCATTCTGGTCAAGCCAGCGCATCAAGTGCGCGACGTTGTCGTCGACCGAGTCCGAGTTTGAGTTCCGTAGCGGCCACGGAAGCCGACAAGGAGAGACGCCGCCTTTGATTCCTCCTCGCAGAGTTTCGACAGCTAGACGCTGGGAAGCCAACTGTCCTGCGGGTGGACAACAAGTCGGCCATCGCGGTCGCTGAGGGCATGGGGTTCGCGGGCAACCTCAAGCACATGGAGCGGCGACAGGCCTGGCTGCAGCACATGGTGAAGCGCGGGAAGTTTTCGCTGAGGTACATCCTGGCCACTGAGCAGCCAGCCGATTTCCTGACAAAGGCGCTGCACTACCTGGCCTTCAACCGGGCTCCGTTGCAATCGACCAAGTGCGCCTGGCCTACGTGGGCGACGGTGACGACGACGTGCAGCAGTAGGTGCCATGCTCTCTTGCATGGCTAGTGCGGTGGACGATGTGTTGTGTGTTGGGTGCACGTCGACGAGCTATTCTCCAAGGAGTATTGCCGTGTGGGCTTGGGGTCCAAGCCTGAACGCGGCAGAGGAGTGTCAACGAGAGTTTTTGTTTGGCCCCGTCCTTGCTTGGGCGGAGCCGACTTTGTGGTCGGGTGTGAGGGGAGCAGCCGACCTGCAGTAGTGGGCAAGCTGGTTGACAAGGAGGTCGACCTGCACGGGGGCCACTGCACGGGCGCCGACTTCAGGGTGGTCGACATGGAAAGTCGACCTACGGAGGGCGACGACTTGGTGACGCCAACTTGGAGAAGCCGACTAGGGTGGTTGGCTGGTAACTGTGCTGGTCGACCAGAAGTGGTGTCGACCGGGACGTTGTGGTCAACGTGGGAGGGGCTGACGTTGACCACGACAGAGAAGGCTGGGGATGCCGAGCTGGAGGGCGTCGAGGAGTAGGACGCCGAGTAGCTGAGCGTCGAGCAGCAAAGCGCCTGGTGGAGAGCGCCGAGCATTGGGGATGCCGGGCTTGTGCAGTCGGCGACCGACCGAGGTGGTCAACTAGGCGTGGTCGCTTGGTCGACTAGGATACACGGGTGACGTGCGCAAGTGTCGCCGGGGTGGAGTCTGCGAGGCCGACCTCGAGGGTGGTATCCCGAGGTCGACGTGGCTGGAAGGCGCAGTCGCTGGTGTGGAGCCGACCTGGGCGTCTACGCTGTGCACGTGAGAAAGAAGTGCGCACCAACCAGTTGCGCGCACCTACGAAGCAGGTGCACCGTGGTCCTGCGAGTGTGACGCTGTACAGCCGAGTTGCTGCAGCGTTGGCACACCGTGGGCTTGCAACGTTGGCGGACCGCTACTCTGCAACGTTGGAGCAGTGCGAGCGCTGCTACGCTGGAACGCGGTCGACCATGCTGCGCTGGAGGTCGACCAACAGCCTCTGAAGATTTTTTTTTCGGTTCAAGAGCAGCTCCTCACCTTCCGCGTCCCATCTGTTCTCCGGCTCCCCCACCGTGACAATCTTGGAGTCCCACAGGGCCCTGAGCGTCGACTTCCATCTAACCCCGCCCTTCATCCAATGTTTCAATGCCGACGGGTGTGCGTAAACCGTTGCCAGGCCGAGAGGGAAACCCGCCGCTTTCTCGCACAGCCAATTTCTCAGTGGGTCCTGCTCCGCTACTGCATTTCCAAGGTTTTGAATAACCATGCTATTGATCCTATGCTTTGGGTCAATAACACCTAACCCTCCCTCTTTCCGCTCTCTGCAGGACAGCTCGTAGCTCCACAAGAAGAAGTGTCTGTCGAACAATGACTTGCCGTCTATGATGAAGTTGTGGATTAGACGGTGCACCTTTTTCCATATGTCGTGCGGTGGAGCGTAAATCTGCACTTGGAAAAGTAGAATCGGCATCACGTAACAGTTTATGATGGTGACTCTCACCGAAGTCTTCAGGTTTTTCTATGCCTTCTTCGCCTTCCGGCGACCCCCCAGACGTGATCCACACACCAAGCAGCCGCTCTGGTACGTCTTTCGTCGCCCAATTGAAAGGTGAGTCGTCCGGCTGCACTCGTCTCCTGTTAATCCCCAGCGGCATCAGTATCGTTTTCTCACAGTTTATGTTTAACCCCGAGATCGCAGCAAAGTCGTCGAGCAGGGACTTCGCCTTCACCACCTGCTCCTTTCCTTGCAGCACTAGTGTACTATTGTCAGCGTATCCGACATATGCCAACTCCCCAGCCACTCCCCTTTTTCTTACTCCAAGCCCTCTCCTCTCCACCTCCTGGCAGAGTGGCTCGATAATGCAGAGAAACAGGTATGGTGCGAGTGGGCACCCCTGCCGCACTCCCTTGAGCATCTCCACTCGATCCCCCAACCAGCCGTTGAGCAGGAGTCTCATGGCAGCACCATCATGTAGACCCTTCACCCACTTTATAAACTTGTCCGAGAAACCCATGCCCCTCAGTGTCTTGAACAGGTACTCCCGGGACACTGAATCGTACGCCTTTTGAAAGTCCACGAGAAGAAGCAGCCAGTCCTCATCACCTTCCGCCGCTGCGTCAATCACGTCTGCTACCAGTGATACTGCTTCCTTCAAGCTTCTGCAGAGGAGGAAGCCAAACTGGTTCGGGGAGATCACCCGCGGTAAGGCCACTTTAATCCAATTTGCCAGCACCTTCGTGAGCAGCTTGTAGAAGAAACTCAGCAGAGTAATCGGTCGGTAGTTGCTTGATGACTCCTTGTCACCCTTCTTGTGCAGGAGGATTGTGACTGCAGTAGTGAAAGCTTCCGAGAGTTCCGCCGACAGCTCAAACGCCCGTATCTCCTTCAGCACCGCCGACCCTAGCAGGTCCCAGTTTCGCTCAAAAAACTCCTTTGACAGCCCATCCTGCCCGGGAGCCTTTCCTGAGGGGAGCCCTTTGAGCGCCACCTTTACCTCCTGCTCCGTCCAACTCCGACTAAGCTGAGCCCTGTCAAAGTCCCGTACAGTGCACCCCTCCTCTATCAGCCATGGTTCGGTAAGGCTCTGCTGGAGAGGGGCCTCATACGCTTCCTTGAGATATATTGATGCAGCCTTCAGCACCTCTCTCGCGCCTTTATACTGCCGTCCTTTGAAACACAGCTCACTTAGTTCCGTCTTTGCCTTCCTTGATCTGACCAGGCCTAACAGGAAAGGTGAAGGCGTCTCACCCGCTAACTCCATCAACACACCTGACATGACCTGTAGCCGCTCCCTGTTGCTGTCAAGATAGAGCTTCAGCGCTACCTCGTTTTTCACCAGCTCCTCATATACATCTTGCGCTGACGGATCAGCCATTACCCTCCAGTGTAAGTTCTCCACTTTCCTCTCCAGGTGAACAATCGTCGCCCTTACCTACTTTCTCTCCTCCGCCACATGTGCCCTCATGCCTGCACGCAGATTTGCTAGCAGCCGCTCTAGGCTCTGGTCAGCTCGACCCTCTTGCCCATCCAAGACCGCCGAGATTATATTCCTGGTTCCGTCACCGCTGGCCTGGGGGGCTTGCAATCTCCACAGGCCCGAGCCACTCCCTTCCGACAAAGCCGACTTGAGCGACATCGCCACAGCAAACCAGTGATTTGTCAATCCGTATGGGACCATGGTATGCTTCGCTTCCACAACACACCTGAGAAGAGAGTGTGACACTAGGATCCTGTCTATCTTTGTGCTTGTGTGCGCAGATCTCGAGAAAAAAGTGTACTCCTTATGGCACGGATGAAGAACTCCTACCAGCCGGCACACGCTTGACGTCCTGTAGCGCCCCATTGAAGCCGACACATGCTTGACGTCGCCGCTTGGCTCCAAGTCGACGAAGGCCTCCTTTGTCCCCATCAGGTGGTGCGAGCAGCTGCTATTGCGCAGGACCACTGCCTGGTCTGCTCGCATAGCTTCCGCCACCTCGTGGAAGTCCTCGCCGGCCTCCGGCGCCAGCGAGACGGTTGGCTCTAAGATGCTGACCAGCGAGCACGACGCTTGTCATCTGTGGAGGAGTCGGCGTCCTTCGCCAAGGTCTAATTGTTCGCCTGCTTCTCCTTGCGCGGCGTGCTTTTCCGATGTGGACGACGGCTGGCCGACCTCCTGCGACCTCCTTTAGTGTCATCGTCGAAGTCACTGCGGTTGGCGCAATTGAAGGAGAGGTGGTTGGGGTCGCCGCACAGCCAGCTTTCCCAGCGTCGCCCTCCTCCTCCATGACTATTGTCCTTCCCCGGCTTCCCCTTCTCGGCGTTCTTGGCCGGCTTCCCACCTCCGCTACCACTGCCGCCAGGCTTGCCGCGCTGCCCCGGTTGGCCACCTTGCTTCGTCGGGGCGACGTAGTTTACCTGCGGCAGAAGGTCTGTGGACTTCTTGGCCTCCTACACTGCCTCGTCCTTGAGGATGTACGAGGTCAGCTGGTCCTCGTTGAGCGACTCCCACGTGCCCAAAACCACCATTACCTGCTTCATCAAGTTGTAGCCGCTCGGGAGGCCCTTGATGATGTGTCTGATGTACAACGGCGTCGAGTACTTAACGCAGGCCATCTGTTGGTGTAAGGGCCTAATAAACTCAAGCTATTAAGACTTATCAAACTTAAAACCTCTCCTCGGGGTCACCTCCAAGGGTCCTTGGGTGCCTGGTACAAGACCAGCCCCTATCCTCGGGTCCGAGTTTGTAGAGAGAGGGATCAAGAGGGACTTAGTCAAAACAGCAAGAGTACCTTGAACGTCGCGCAGCGTATCGTGCAGACCGTCGACCGGATTAAGCTGAGAATTTCCTATATCAAAGCTCGCTCCAAGAGCTTTAAAATGAACCAAGTTGCCTCGCGAAAAGTTCTGCCATTACGAAGTTATGGCTCGGACAGCGTTTGCCTAGCGTTGGAGTGCAAGCGTACTTGTTGGATGCACGTCATTCTGAGTGCATGTCATCCTAACGTCCTGCCGTGTGCTCGTGCTATTTGTGCTTGCATGATTTGCATGAGCGTATGTCATTGTGCATGGCTGTTGGATATTATCATCTATGTGTTTTTCTCCAAGTCTAAATGCTTGATCATGCAGGAGAAATCCAGAGTTTTCCAACGACACCAAGATCGCCTTATTCCGACCAAGATCGCCCAAGTTACAAGATTTCCAAGATTTGGATTTCTTATTACCTTTTGGGGTTATATCTAATTTGGGTGATTACTTGGGACATGAATACAAAGGGATCTTTGTTTGGGTGGTTAGGAAGGCAACTTTGACTTTTGGATTGGGGTGGCTAGAAGTTTCTAGCATGGGTTGCAAATGTTGCAACACCTAGGCAAAATCCAACTAGATTGGATTTTGCATGTGACACCTCAAGGACCTCATGATGAGGGTTGCATCCTTGCTGCTGGGAAGGTTCCTACCATCCTTCCCTAGCTCTTGGAGAACCCCTTCTCTCTCATGGTTCTCTTGGAGTCCCCAACTCCAACTTTCTATGCCCTAATGTTTGTACTTCCTCCACCATTCTAGTTATGCGGCTGCTGGACGTTTTCATATGGTTCTCACTCTATAGAACATCTTAACGACTGATTCAACTTGGAGATGGTAGATACGCCTAAGGCGCAACTTCCTAACGAGCGGATTTGTGTTTAGATGAGTAATGATTTCGTCGTGAGCTCTCAAAGTGACGGATCCTGAACAACAGTACTAGCGTTGACTCGGGTAGCATTCCGGCGTCGCACCGCGTAGAAACGAAATTCCAGGAAGGAAGGAATTCGCTTGAATCAATTTCACTATATCCAGGTACAAACAGAGAAGGAATAAATAGTTCTAGCTAGCAAGGACCTTGGGAATAAAACTGGGAACAACCAGGGATGATCCCAAATAATTCCAAGCAATAGAACCAACCTGGCTGGACAAAACAGCAGGTTGTAGGTTGGTAAACAACCTCTGGTTCTGTTTTTCCAACCTGGGAAAACAACAACCAGGTTCAGGTCCTAAAAACAGAACCTGTTTTGTCTTTGCCCAACCAGCCAAATGCTGGTTCCGCTGGTTTCCCCTGGCCCTGTAGCAAGCAGATACAGACAAACAACATCCAACCTTCACCTAAATTGTACCCCTATAGTGCCTGCCCTGCTACACTATACTCAACCAAACAAAACAGTACAATTTCGAGTTGGATAGAACTGAATCTGCGTTATCAATTCAACCGAACCGCAAAGCTTCCATCTTGGGTTCCTTTGCAAGCTCGTCCTTTCTGCTTGTACTGTTCATAGCGCGCACAATGTTGTGCCGAAGCGCACAATGCGCGAGTACCTGCAAATGCTTCAATCAAAATTCGCGAAAGAAAACAAACACACGAACATTCCATTCACACCCAAATGCATTCGCACACACATACTCGTACGAACAGACGGCAGGATGTTGTGCAATGTGAATTTGCACCCAACACACTCCCCCTCAGCCTGCGGGCTGCATTCCCATCATTCCATGCTAGTTCATGCTCATTATGTCAGATTATTATAGCTGATGCATGTTTGTAGGCCATAGTGGGGTAGCACATATGGGGTACAGTTTGCTAGGGTTGTATTTGTACCCAACTCTGACTTAGTCAATTCATTCCTCTGCTCATAGTTTCACATGGTATAGAGCTAGGTCCCTCCAGGACCGAATTTTTTTTTGGGCCCACCGAAGCGCGCCCCGAGGCGCGCCCTTTTTTGTTTTAGCGACCCTTCGGGTCGCCCTCTCCCCTGCGGCCCCGCCGCCTGCCCCTTACGCGGCCCCGCGCTGGCCCCTTACGCGGCCCTGCGCCGCCGGCTCCTACGCGGCCCTGCGCCGGCCTCTTACGCGGCTCCGAGCCGGCCCCTTACGCGGCCCTGGGCCGCCGGCTCCTACTCGGCCCCTTACGCGGCCCCGCGCCGGCCTCCTTCTCGGCCCCGCCGCCGGCCTCCTACACGGCCCGCCGCCGGCCTCCTACTCGGCCCGCCACCGGCCTCCTACACGGCCCGCCGCCGGCCTCCTACTCGGCCCGCCGCCGGCCTCCTACACGGCCCGGCCCCGGCTCCTACTCGGCCCGCCGCCGGCCTCCTACTCGGCCCGCCGCCGGCCTCCTACACGGCCCCGCCGCCGGCTCCTACTCGGCCCCACCGCCGGCCTCCTACTCGGCCCGTCGCCGGCCTCCTACTCGGCCCGCCGCCGGCTCCTACTTGGCCCTACCGCCGGCCCTACCGCCGGCCTTGTCCCGGCCCCGCCACTGCACTGCAGCCGAGCCGCCCAGCAGCAGCCGAGCCGCCCAGCAGCAGCCGAGCCGCCCAGCAGCAGCCGAGCCGCCCAGCAGCAGCCGAGCCGCCCCGCAGTAGCCGAGCCGCCCCGCAGTAGCCGAGCCGCCCGGTACCTGAGCAGCCCGAGCCGCCTGAGCTGCACGAGCAGCCCGAGCCGCCTGCTGCTGACCTACCCGACTCTCCCATCCCGGTGAGACTTTCAGCTGCTGCTATGGCCACCCCCAATGTTCTCACTTTTGACGCTGAGGGGAGGGCCATTGACTTTGCCGTCTGGATCGAGGATCTGCAGCTGTACTTACTGTGTGATGCGGTAGATGAGGTCTCTCTCTTTGACTTTGTCTCTGGCGCTGTCCCTGCCCCGCCTGCTGATGCTGACTCTGCCGTTCGCTCCAAGTGGGCGACCCGCGATGCTGCTGCACGTCTTGCTGTGCGTCGCCACCTCCCTTCCTCTGAGCGTGCCCACTTTAGTCAGTGCAAGACCGCTCAGGCCTTGTACGACGCTGTAGTTGCGCGCTACTCCTCCCCTTCCTCCGCTACCCTTAGCCGCCTCATGCTACCGTTTCTCTTCCCTGACCTCGCTTCCTTTCCCACTGTCGCTGACCTCGTTACCCACCTCCGCGCTAGTGACACCCGCTACCGCGCTGCCCTTCCTGCTGAGTTCCGCGCTGCGAACCCTCCTCCCATGTACATCACTCTCTACTTTCTCGTCACCCGTCTTCCTGAGTCCCTTCGTGTCGTTAGGGACCAGTTTCTCTCTGTCTGTCCCACCACTCTCACTGTCGACCTCCTTGAGGAGTCCCTGCTAGCGGCTGAGAAGAGTATTGTCGCTGTAGGGGCCTCTCGGGGTGACCCTCGCACCCCCATCTTTGAGGGGTGTGGTCCCTCCCCCCTGCTGCCCTCTGTCGCCTCTGCCGCTGCGGCCGACCTCGTTGGTTTTGAGTCGGTCGGCGCGGCGTCTGCCCCCAGTGGCAGACGCCGCACTGGCAAGGGCAAGGGGGGCAAGGGAGCGGGTGGAGCCAGAGGGGGCGGTGGAGGAGGCGGTGGGGGTGGAGGGGGGAGTGGGGGTGGCGGGGGGGGTGGT